AATAAAATAAAATAAAATAAAATAAAATAAAATAAATAAAATAAAATAAAATAAAATAAAATAAAATAAAATATGACTTCAGCCTGTCTTCTTTGTCATAGCTTTTATATTTTGGAAAATTAAAACAAATAAGAAAATACAGGTTTCCAGCCAAAAGATAAAGGCACTCGCCTCCATAGCAATACCTTCAGTTTTCCTGAACACTTCCACCAAACTCTGGGCTTCCTCTTCGATCTGATACACCAGAGCGCTCTTTCCTATGCCCAGGGTCTTCAGAGTCGCCATTGAAAATAGTCTTTGATGCTTCCAGTTCTGGCCCGAGGAAAGTGTGATTCCTGATGACACAGAACCACCGGACAACAGATTATTGGCCTTATTCAAATCTTTGGAACTGACAGAAGGGCAAAATACAGTACCTTTCTCAGAATATTGTGATCGAAACAGCAATAGCACTTAGATTTATATACCGCTTCACCATGCTTTACTCTGAGCAGTTTTACAGAGTCAGCCTCTTGCCCCCAACAATCTGGGTTCTCATTTTACCGACTTCAGAAGGATGTATGGCTGAGTTAACCTGGAGCTGGCCAGGATCGAACTGCTGACAGTCAGCAGAATTAACCTGCCATACTGCATTCTAAAGACTGCGCTACCGTGGCTGATCACATCTGTAATGTAAAGCTGCCTCTGAAACTGGAAGTCCAATTCTGCCAAGTGGGCAGCATGGGCTTTGGAGTTACTAGGAAACAGTATCATAAAACAGGAAGGCTAAATAAACTAGGAATAAATAAAAGGGGACAAAGAATTAAGGGAGACATAGCGGGTCAATTTCCTTAACATTAAATTTGCAGCTCTACATCTTCTTCCATGGAGGTTCAAACTCCTGGAAGATTTATACATATGCTGGGTATGTCAATATTTAAAGATGTAAATTCTTATTAAACCAAAGAAAGGAACATTAAGGTCATTCTAATTTTTGTGAATTATCCCTATGAAACAATTATTCTAGTTCAACATCGTTGTTTTAAAAAAGGGGCCAATAATTTTCCAGGGGGGAAAATGGCAATTTTCTTATGGATAAAATTGAGAGTTTATTGAAGTTACAGACTGAAGTTACTTTGTGTATTGCCACTGTACAGGTAGTTCCCGATTTATGACAATTCCTTTAATAACCATTTGAAATTATGACAATGCTGAGAAAAGTGACTTAGTTAGGACCACTCCTCAGTGTCATGCTAACATGAGCAACATTTGGGTGCTTGGCAACTGGGATGTATTTACAATGGTTTGAAGCATCCTGGGGTCACATGATGAACATCTGTGACTTTCCCAGCCAGCTTCTGACAAGCAAAGCCAATAGGGGAAGCTGGATTCACTTCATGACCATGGCAAAAAGGGGTGGCAAAGTCAGGTGTAACTCACTAGACGACCTCCTTGCTTAGCAACAAAAGTTCCAGTCCCAAATGTGGTTGTAAGTAGAGGACTAGCAGAACCATGACAAAGGTGACACCAAAGAAATGAACATTGTCCTGCCTCCTGTGCCCACATCTGAAGAAAGTTGATCATTCTTACCTTTGTTGTTTGCCACTACTTTGAAAATGGGGAGCAGAGGCCGGCCAGAAACATCTTCAGGGTGGGTGGTGAGACCGTCCTTCACAGCTTGGAAGCCATGTAATATAATCACAGGGTAGGGCCCGAACCACAATGTGAAGATATTCCCGTAGATCTTGGACATCTGTTAGAAAACAATCCCACATGGTCATATATTTTAGCAAAAGGGTTCTCTGCCCTGTTTCTGGGTGGGCGTGGCCATGGTGGGCGTGGCCTAGTCGGCCTCCTGCACCATGATTGGTGGTGGTTGGGGGGTGTTTTTACCCTCCCCGGGCTCCGGAGGCTCTCTGGAAGCCAGAAATGGGCTCATTTCCAGCCTTCCTCACCTTCCAGGAAGCCTGTTTTTTGCCCTCCCTGAGCCTCTATGTGTGCCCTGCATTTACCTGCATCCAAAACAGGCCACGTGAAGACTCCGGGGAGGGGAGGGGAGAGGAGGGGTGGAGCCAGCCAGGAGTGGGGATTTGGGGGTTCTCCAAACTGCACAGAATCTTAGCGAGGGGCTCTCCCAAACCCCTGTGAACGCCCAGCAGCCCAACCCCTGTGACACGGTCTTTAAGATTCTTGGTGACTATATAATTTATTTTCATTTGAATAAAAGCTTAAATTCATTAGATTCATTACAGATAGGAGAGGGGGGGAGAAGGAGGAGGACTGCGGGCTTCCTGGTGCTCTCTGAGCTTGGTTGCTTTCTTGCAGACATTTCATCACCCGACTAGGGAACATTATCAGTGTTAGATAATGGAGAGGAGTTTGGAGGAGAAGGAGGAGGAGGAGGACTGTAGAGTCCTTGGTACTCTCTAAGGTTAGTTGTTTTCTTGAAGACATTTCAGTACCCAACTAGGTAACATTATCAGTGCTGGAAGGGGGTGGGGTTTGCGAGAAGCAGGAGGAGGAGGAGGAGGAGGAGGAGGAGGAGGAGGAGGAAACTGATAAGGTGGACTCTATTCCTGTTCCCAGAAAATATAACATTTGTCCACTGTCCAGTGTTATCCCGGAGATTTTAGATGAGATGGGTGGTGCTGCAAAAATGATAAATAAATAAATAAATCTGCTTGGTCTGCACACTAAATAACATCTTTATTAAGTTAAACAACAATACACAAGGGAGTGTGCAAACTTTTCAATTCTCTGAAAGATTTCATTCAGTTAAATTGTTTTTTAAAAAAGAAAGCAGGGAGAAAAAGCATGGTATTTTTTTAAAAAATTGTGGCCTGTGTTGTGAACAAAGTTAAGTGGAATAAGGAGATTTTCAATGTTGCTGGAAAGTTGTGGGTGACGTTTAATTTGCACCCAGCCCAATACCAAGTCATCCTTACATTCAGAGCAGAGGAAGTGAAAATGGCACTCCCTTTAGTTAGCAGGAAAAAAAAGGATGTTTCTTTATTAGACATCAGCAAGCATCAAAAATAGTTAACAGGCATAAAATAAATAAAGCAGTGGTGGGATTCGACCAGTTCAGACCGGTTCGGGCAAACTGGA